GCATAAATACAAATAGAAACAGACTCATAGACATAGAATACAAACGTGATTGCCAAGGGGGCGGATGGTGGGAAGGAATAGACGGGATTTCAAAATTGTAGAATATATAAACAGGATTATACTATACAGCACAGGGAAATATACACAAGATCTTATGTTAGCTCACAGAGAAAAAACTGTGACAATGAATATATATATGTTCATGTATAACACAAAATATTCTGCTCTACACTGGAATTTGGCACAACATTGTAAAATGATTATGAATTAATATAGAATGTTTAAAAAACACTAAATAACAAATGTATGGAATAGTTGGCAATTGAACATAAGTGACTAGATATATTAATTTTCATCTTGGTATCTGGTATGATGAAATACTGTCCAAAGCCATAACTTATTAAAACAATCTATGAGATAAATAAATAAATAGCTAGCTAGCTCCTTCCTTTAAAAAAAAAAAGGCAAGGAGTTTACTGAAATAAAAGGCATTCTATAATACAAATAAATGTTGAAAGGTGGTAAATAATAAACTGGAAGAAGTGATATTTTAATTTACTTTATATGACAATAAGTGAAAAATTACTGCAGATTTTATATTGTTGAGTATAAATATATTTAGGACTATTAGTGAAATAATACATACAATTAGGTATATGTGTATTCAACAAATATTATCAAACCTTTACTAGACACCGGAATTACCAGAATCTAAAGACCTAGTTTCTACATTCTCACAGAATGTAGGGGAATCAGGCACACAGTATTTATAAGAGGAATATATTGAATGTGCATTGGCACACAAATGAAACATCCAGACCTTTCTAGGGTCAGTCAGGTAAGACCAGACTTGAAAGATGAGTAAGAGTTTACCAAGCAGATAAATTTGAAAAAGAAGTAGAGTCATAAAGACATGAGAGAATTTGGGCAAATACAATGATGTTAGTACAGCTGGAGTATAAAGAAGATAAAAAAGAGTGTGTGATTAAAAAGAAATGACCTGGTAATTGCTTTTCCAACCATAAAGGAAATAAGAGGTTTTCCAAGGAGAAGGAAAACATGGCGCTCTATTACAGACTTCACATGATAGTTCCCTGGGTTTCACCAGGGACAAATGATGCATATATTAAGAGGAAGATCTAAGTAGTATCTCTTATTGGGAGTGAACGCTTCTGTTGTTTAGCATTATGCCATTTATCCTGTTTGTGGTAGCCCATAGCTTATATTCTTAAGTGTCTCGTAACTCCTGGTGGTGAAGGTGTGGGTAGACAACGAGGATGTTAGAAAGTAGAATGCATGGAGTGGTTTAATAGAGTGACTTTTTGTAGACTTGTTGTACAGTGA